ATTTACACAAATGTAAAGGGATTTCTTGTGTTAAGAAAGTTTTTACTTTAATTTGTATATAATGTGTATATTAAGAAATTTTCCTAAGATACTTCTAAAGATTTTAAAAGAATTCCCTGTTTTTTTAAAATAACATTTCATTTATCATAACAAACATTAAAAACGTTTTGACATACATATTGATCATTAGCTAATAAATTCTTCAAAGCCAATAATAGTTCTGGACTCCTTGTATATCATACTCACTCACTTGTGGAACCATAGTCATTAACCACCATAATTTTCTTCAGAATGAAATAACAAAGCAAATATAAGTTTTCAAAATTTCTTGTAAATCCCTTACTGTTAATTCTCAGACTGCCTGGAGTCCATAGATCACAGTTTAAAAACCACTGCTCTAATATTTTCATCCACTTAGTGGTATGGTTTAAAAACCTGAAAAACCTTACTACAGTCAAAAGTCGTTAATTCGGACGCCCATAATCCGGAATGATCTATAATCCGGACCTCAAAGCTAAAAAACTTTCTGCGCATGCGCCACGTTGGGACATGCGCACAAGCGTTTTACGCGTGCGCGTAAGATCTTGACTACTGCGCATATGCGTGTGCACAAGTGCAGAATACGTTTTCGCGTGCGTGTTTAATGTATAATGGACGGTGTGAGCTAAAATTATCTAATTATCTATTTCAGTTAATGTTAATGATTGCGTTGTTCCTTAATCTTCGAATTGGATCCCGCTTATTATTTTTTGCAAGACTGTAAGAGCAATTTTATAAAAGTAAACTTGAACTTTTGATCATGTCAAATAGAATTTCCGATGCTGGAACTTCCAAAGGATCTACAAAACGAAAGTATGTTTCGATGTTCAAACAAACAAAAAGTGGAATTGCTGCAAAAAATGGATAAAGACATGAAGAATGTGACAGAGAGGTTAGTGAAACGAAAAAATTTCGATTGACAAGTTAGTCGGTATTCTCGGCACAGCATTAACAGGACTTGAACACGGAACTTTGTAACTGACATAAACCAACAATGTGTAACATTAACACTTTGTAACAAATTATGTCTGTTTATAGAATTAAAGAGAAAGTATTATTACATAAAACGAAGCAACTTAAACAACTTACATTGAAAGAAATGTTTAATAAAGTAAACAAATAATATAAACTTTTTTTTTTTTTTTTTTTTTTTTTTTTTTTTGTAAATTTTGATACCTTTTAGATCATAATTGTTCTTTATTTCATAAATTAACGGTTTCATATTTTTTAATTTTAGAATTTCTGCATGCCATCTTACGAGATTTAAACTGATGATCTATAATCTGGAAAAATCGATAATCCGGAATCGCCGATGTCCCGACGAGTCCGGATTAACGACTTTTGACTGTACTAATCATTTTAAGTGATAGGATTTTCTATATCACTTTATGAAGTAGTCTTTTAGCCAGAGAAACGTCTATTTTCTTTCTTGAATAAAACTGAGTATTATGTATCTCAAGTTGCTTTATAAGGTGTGTCTTATACAGAAACTTTGTTTCACAAGTAGATGGCTGCTTTATATGATGCTTTTTGCACATTTCTTTTAAAGCTGCTGAAGTTAAAATAGAGAATACTCAGTTAATTTTTGGCACCTGATTTTTAGAATGGTTAGAAATACGAAGCAAATATAATCCTTTTTATAGAAAAATTAATTTCATTAAAAAGGGAAATAAATTCTAAGAAGCATCAAATAAATATTTACTCTGTTAGATATGACAGTAAATGTTCACCATTTTGTCCATTCATAAACTCATTTCTACCTAAATAAATCTCTGTAAAAATTTTAAACACAATTAAAAACAAGTTTATTTTACAAAAATATAACTTTTTACAACTGTTGCCACTCAAATCAAAACTAAAGGGAAAATAATACTACACTGGTTGAATGTATATGAACAATGCTATGCTTAACATACTCCCACCTTTTGATAACAGGCTTTCTACCAAAACAAATATTTAATTAAACTAAATTTTAACCTAAAAGTCCATTTTAAAGTTCACTTAAAATTCTATGTTAAAGTTCAAAGTCCTTGAATCTGGATGGCACTTTTATGGCTCGACCACGTCTGGTAACTCTTTCAGTATCTCTTGAAGACTTGTAGGGATATTCTCTTGTTCAGTGTCTGCCTTTTCAGGACTTCCTTCAGATTGTGGTTGTATTTCCAGTGGTTATAATCTTGGATTGCGGACTTATATAGTTATGCATAAAACAAAATCAATAATTATATACAGAAATGAAAACAATATTAAATTTTTGTAAGTTATCAGATAATGACAAACTGGAGGCTTAAACAGAATTATGTATAAAGTGAAAATAAAGAGCATAAAATGGAAAAAATAGACATTAATATTGTATGTGATCCCCCCCTCATATGTATACAAAGTTTACACCTTGTGACCATGCTTTCAATTAGGTGGTCAACCACCGCTGAATTAAGCAATCGCCATTCTTGTAGAGCAGTTTCCAACTCAATAAGAGTGGCTGGAGGTGGAAAATGGGAAGGTACTGCACGGCCGAGAGCATCCCAAAGATTTTCGATGAGATTAAGGTCGGGCGAATATGCTGACCACGCCATATGCACAATCCCTTTGCTCTCTCCAGGTAGTCAGCGACGAATGACAGCTCTTTGGGGATGTGCATTATCAGTTCATTAAAACAAAAGTAGGGCCAACTGCTGCAGCTTACAATCTCACAATGGTTTCTAGGACTTCATCTCGATACCGGACAGGCGTCAAAGAACCGTTTAAAGATGTGCAGGTTGGTGCGGTATCCTAATGAAATCCCTGCCCACACCATATTGCTTCCGCCTTGGAATGCGTGATGTTTTGGGACTGATTGTGTGTTTGTTGTTCACGTCATATCCTTATACGCTTGTCATCTGGCTCCAGAGCAAATCTTGACTCATCAGTAAACATGACATTGCCCCAGTCAGACACATTCCAATTGACATGTTCCCAGCACCACTATAATAGTGCCCCTCTTGATTGGGCGGATAAAAGAACACAAACTCGAGGTGCCTGGGCGTACAGTCTACTCATATGTAATCTTTGGCGTACAGTAGCTGCAGATATCGCCTTACCAATGGACGCTGTAACCATAGATGTCACACGTGTGGAGGTCGCTCTGCGATTACGCTTGGCTACAATAGCAATATAACGATCTTCCGTGGGTGTTGTAACCCTTGGGCGACCGGCTACGGGCCTTCGGACAACTGTCTCTGTGGTTTGGAATTGTTTTCATGAGCGTGAAATTACAGAATGATGAATGCAGAAGAAAAGAGCAACATCCGTGATCAACTGTCCTGCTTCAATGCGCCCCACTGCATACCAGCGCTCAGAATCTTCCATTCGTCTTCTGGAAGTCATAGAAACACGTTTGTCTTGAAAACAAATTGTACGAAAGTTTTAAACACCTTCTCTCAACACTTACAATCAACTTCTGTAACCCATCATAAAGCTGGCTTCTTATAAGACTGCCTTTTTTGCATATTTCTTGACATGAAAGCACGATTGGCTGTTACCTAACATATTTGCATACTTTCATCTACCTCTGCAGTGAACTGCATCCTCTTCAATTCTGATTGGCTTCTGGAAATTAGCATTTTCCTCTCCGGCTTAACTTTTGGAAGTAAGTGTACTTATATGTAAATGCATGTGAGCATATTACATATAAGGGCCTTTTATTCTATTAAATTAAGTGTTGAGGAACCTAGTGAACTGCTAAGCAAAAAACAGAAACCTAAACTCAAGAAGACTTAATTTCCCTTTATTGACTCCAAAGTAAGATTAACAGTCGGCCTTTTTCTCAGGGCTCACAGCAAAGCTTCCATTTGGGCTTGAACTCAGAATGTAAGAAATAAGAACTAACTAATGATTAACTAAAGAGATTTAGCTGAAGCTAACACATTTGTAAACTAGTTGGCCTGTAATATTAAATTAGCCAGCAAACTATCAAAAGGCACGTTATACGGCCAAGCATAGTAACAGCTTAGAGAGAGACATAGCGAAAAGCCAAACACTCACTATTCGTGTATCCTAACTCTCTCTGGCAAAGTCAGTTGAGCTTGACTTAAATAATATTCTCTTCTCATTTGCATTTAACATGATTCTAAAAACTCATACTGGAAGAGAGTTATAAGCTGAAGAGAGAAGAAAGAGGCATAAACTTAAAATAACTGTTATAAAATTAAAATATGCCTTATATTTCATAATACCTCCTTCCCTTTGCTGTCATAACATGCCATTGCCAAGCCACAGCACTCATTTTTTGTACCTCATTTAAACCTAGTTTAAGGCAGGGGTCTTCGTGAAACAGTTTTACAAGGTCTGTGAATACAATTTCCGTAAGTTAATTAGTGTTACTATTACTATTAAGATAGGGAAAAAACTAAGATTTTAATAGTTTGCATTATTTTAATTGTAATTAAAAAAAGGAATGCAAGTATAATGGTCCAGGAAAATCTGTAAATGGAATTCTTTAATAATTTATTTTATGTTATAAATATTATTCAAAGATTTGAAGATTCAGATTTGATTAACCATTTCCTGTGCTTGTCAAAAAAATAAATACCATTAGATATGAATTTTTGAGATAAGAATAATTACTTGGTGTGGGAATCTGTAATATAATACAGTATGTAAAAGTATGTAATTGGTATAAAATATTGCAGAGATGGAGAAGAGGCAGTAGTTTGAGTTAAGATTAATTTTAAATTTTCCAGGCAAGGCAGGAAGGAACCTGCAATATTGAGTGTGAAGTGAAAAGATTTGACTGCATGCATTACCGCTATGCTATTATGACTTCGCGTTGCAATCAAATATCTGAGTGGCTATTTAAAATTGGAAAAATGGATTAATTTACATTGCTTACAGGTATATGCTTTGCAGGGATAAGGAAGAATGGGGAAGAAAGACAAGAGTGAAGAGGTGGTCATGGGGCATGTTCAAGTAGGAGACAGTAAATGCTTGCCACCTGGATATTAAAATGTAGTAGAGTGCGTTTGAAGAGGACAACCGGAAGTGTCAATGTACCCCTTTATCTCCTGTGGTTAGGTTATGCCTTTTGCATTGAGAATAAGCCTTTAAGTGTTTGTTTTTTTTTTATTTACTTTTTTAAATTGTACTCCCTAAACACATTATTTAATTTACCTTGCTAGTGGGGTGTAGAATAGGTACTTAAGCTAGTGTATTTTTATGTGAGATGTTTTTTCTCTAGTTGAAAATTAATATGTCTTAAAAAAAAGGAATGGAATATTTATAATTTGTGATAGTGTCTAGTAATTTTACTCCAAAGTTACAAGTTTTATCAAAATCAAAATGCCATGAGGTTTTGTAGCTGAAAGTTGTAGTAAGAAATAAAGTTTATGATTATTTCCATATAAATATGTGTATTTTTTTTCTGTATACATCAAAGAAAAATTTAATAAAGAAAAGAAAGTTCATAATTTGTTTGTTTTTAAGTTTAAGTTTAAAGTAAGTTATTAATAGTTCAGCATATTAGAGCTAATTTAGAAGTTAAACAGCAAAAATCAGCATATATTTGCAAATTTTCACAGGACTAGTTTCAGTGGTTTTACCGAACCATCATCCTCGGCTGTCAAAGCACAAGTGAATGAGATAACATGTAGTTATAAGATAAGAATGGCTGGACAGGAGTTAAGCTACTGGTGCCATATGTTGTTGAAACAAAAACTAAAACATAATTTCCTAAAGGCTGAAGGAAAAGATGGATTGGAATTAGGGTCGTTAAATAGAACAGAAAGATTTTTTTAATGTGAAACACGTCTAGAAAATCTAATTCACCAATGAAACATGTTTTTTGAATAATTTTGGCTGCAGAAAAATGAAAAGTGTGATTTTCGGACCAACAATGCTGGGCAATAGAGAACTTCATTGTTTCCTTTTTTCTAACATACGCCTCATGTTCTGTAACGTGAAATTGTAAGGTTGTCTTAGTTTGACTAATGTAAATTAAACCACACTGGCAAGCAATCCTGTAACTACCCCAAGCATTTATATCCGGAAGGGGGTCTTTAAGTATGGACCTCAGAATTTTATTAATAGGAGAATAAATGATCCGAAAGTTAAATTTCTGTAAAATACGTGCAATTTCATAGCTAATTGATGGAAAGAAAGGAATGACAACAGAATTCTCATAATCACCTGAAATAAGAGTGTGCCTTTTGGTGTGTTAGGATGAGAAATTTTTAACTGCTTGTGGATTAATAATGTGTAGTGAAAAGCTACTGCTTTTATATAATTTAGTTCTTGATCAAGAGCCAGTTTGGAGAAGCGGACTTGAAGTGCATGGAAAACAAATGAATAAAATGAAGCTAACTTTTGTTTAGTCAGATGACATGATTTGAAGTGTCATGGAAGACAAAACGATGAAGGTCTACAGTTGTACTCAAGTTACGTGTGACTAAAATGTCGAATGGAAGAGAATTGCATATCTCAAGTTCAAGAGTGAACTGCATTGCAGGATCAATAGAATTCATTATTGAAAGAACTTTATTTAAATCATCTTTATTACTGTCAAACAGGGTAGAAGTACAGTGTTCTACATAGCGGAACCATACCGGGAAGTTTAAAGTTTCAAATTACTTTGATAATTACAAACCCTATTGAATTTTTTATGGTGTAAATGTTATTACAGTCCAAAGTCTGTAATTATCCAGACGTTCATTATCCGGAATGATCTATAATCTGGACCTCAAAGCAAAAACTTTTTTTTGGTATGCTTTACGCATGCGCGTTTAGCACAAAAAATGAAGCAATTTAAACAACTTACATTAAAAGAAATGTTTAATAAAGTAAACAAATAAATATTAAGCTCTTTTTTTTTTTTTTTTTTTTTTTTTTTTGTAAATTTCGATACCCTTTAGATCATAATTGCTCTTTATTTCATAAATTACAGTTTCATACTTTTAACTATATAATTTCTGCATGCCATCTCACCAGATTTAAATGGATGATCTATAATTCGGAAAAACCCTTAATCCGGAATCGACGAAGTCCCGACGAGTCCGGATTACGGACTTTGTACTGTATATAATAGAGTTGAAAAATCTAGCTCTTTTATATATAAAATATTTAGCTAACGCAACATCCCATCTGTTGCGAATTGTGCTGGAATATATGCTCTTCCCAAAATTCATAAAAGTGGTATTCCTTTGCTGTTGTATCAGATTTATGCACTGCCTCCTACCCATTAATATTTTAAGGGATTTATTTTAAGTTTCACTTATGCACAGTTTTACAATTTTGATAGAATTTTTAAGCAAAATTTTCTTGGAATTTTACACAGATAAGCTTATATTTAGGAATCCCTGGTAATACGAAATGACATCCTATATATGCCTGTAATTTGAATAGAAGCCCTGAAACGCCGATCCCTTGGTATAAGCACATTATTAATGTACTTATACCAAGGGATCGGCAACTATTACAATCAACTGGTATAAGTACATTATTAATGACGTTGCAAAGCATAAAATCTTAAAATAAAATTTGCCTCCAAAACAGTGATAATAGATGATTGTATGCAAATAGAAATGATACATCATACCTCATCAAGAAGCATGAATTGGCAGTCAGGAAAAGTTTGTCAAGCAGTGTGTAGACAGGATTTTGAAGTTTAAACATGGCTAGTTATTCCACTACGAGATAGTTCTCTTACATGGAAAATGCTGTCGCCAAGCAAGAGAGACACTACAACAGTATGTGTTATACTTATCCTATCATTCTGATTCTCTTGCAACTACTATCATCAATGCCATTCACTATATTAAACAAATAAGGATCATCACAATTTGGCCCTATTCAGGTAGGCTGACACTTGCAGATATGCACATACAGCCAGTAAGCATCCTGGCATAAGTGCTAGCCAGTTTCCATTGCAGTACGAAAGAGTTCAATGTATCATGTAAGGGAAATTTTGCATGACTTCAGACTGCCCTGTGCAATGCAGCATTAAAGCAAGGATAGCTGCCATGAGATATTAGAATTGCTATGCCTGATACAACTTAGTTATGTATGAAGGCACTGGATGTACACCTGAAATGGTCATTATGTAGATGGAGGAGGAGAAAATTGATCACAGTGGTGTGTTTAAACCAACACAACGTAGATTTTTTGGAACTTCACAAGTTTGTTAGTCCATCATGGCAATGAAGGTCATCAGATACAGTGGTCTGTCATTGATTGGGATGAGAATTGGAACACTCGCTTTATAGAATTTTGCCTTATAGAACCTGTGTTCTACAACTGAACTTTAATTGGGTGAATATATTTTGTGATATTGCAAACCTGATTCCCAAGATGACTTTCCATTAACTCGATTGCATTCTATGTGGTTCCAGCATGATGACACACCACCAAAGCTGCTGACTTCAGGCACAAAATGATTGGTTATGGAGATAATGGGGAGTGGCCCCCAAAGTCACGGGACCCAGGTCCATTGGACTTCTTTTTGCAGGATGACATAATAGACTGTCTTTTCTCAGTGTTAACAGTCTACAAACCTGTTTTATCCAAGCTTGCTGTAGCACCTGAAATGCTGCCGAACATCCAGCAAGAAATTTAGCTCAGATATAGATAGTGTTGCCAAGTAATGAAACATCAATTATGCTCAATTATTAGTTCTAGAACGGCATTTTGTGTGTTTCTTTTTCCTTTATAATGTCCTGCAGTATGAATTTCTTTATGTAATGAATTCTACCGTATTGACAGGGTTAGTTTTACTTGTAACACTGAATTCACTTTTGAATGTCGCACATGCAATTAGTCTCATATTTATTAGGCCAATGATTATACCGAGATCTCCATTTTCTGTTCAAGTTACTGGTGTTTATAGGACTGTCAAATAATTGATAAAATTATAGCTATAGTCATAAATTGGCTAGATTAATATTTATTTGTAACAATTAGTTCAACTAAAAATATTTTACGAATCAATCCAAACTGGTTGAATCACATCACTGAATGTGTTCTTTACTGTGGTATAAGTTTCATTATACTGATTTCAAATATTATAATTAAATTTTTTCCATTTATTCATTTTTTCATCCTACTTTTAGGCACAATATCCGTTCTTTCTCTCAGAGTAGCTCTGGTCTTCAAAGTCTTGAAGCTCAACTTTTTACTGCAAGTGATATTCCTCTTGAAAGTATAGATTTTTCTAACAATTTGTTACGAAGAATAACTGAGAGAACATTTGATGGAATTGAGGATACTCTGCAAGAAATTAACCTCCGTAATAATAAGCTTGGTGATCAGCTGAATTCGCTTTTTTCATCTGGAGAATTTCACAGATTGACACATTTATTAAAACTTGATCTGTCTGGAAATGGAATCAAAGAATTTCAACCTGGAATCTTTAGTGGTCTTGTTAACCTGCAGGTAAGCTATGTAGATATAGTTTCAATTTAAACTGAATTATGCATTTTGCATGCTTCTGTGAATGCTCCTAAAAGTTGGGATCTTAAAAGAGGTAAAAAAATTAAGGAGTTTTGGATGAAACTAGGCTTTTAAGACAGTAAATATCATAAAGTTAAAAAGCAAGTTAAACACTGGCTCATTAAAAAAAAAAAAATCAAACTCTATTCTTTGTCAAAATATTTATAGTGTATGTTGTTAAAAAGTTTATTTTCATATATATATATAAAAATTGCTGTTAAATTTTCAATGCTTAATGTTCTAGGAATCAAAGTTTTGTTTGTGTGTATCCAAGAAAGTGTAGGTATTCATGAATTATCAGAATTGTACCATGTTTCAAAATACAGAAAATTCAAGTTTTAAATTCAGAAAAGCATACTATATGAATGGAGGCTTTTGTCTGTAGTTCAAGTATATACTCATATAAAAATACTTATTTTTATTTGTGTGTGATTTATAAAAATTAGTTTTTTCTGTGTGCTGACTTAAAGATTTAAAAATTTACCTTTATGTATGCACATACACATATTATGGTAAAAAAGCTTGGGTACTTCTTGGAATAATTTGATTTTTTTTTTTATTTATTTATTTATCTTTTTAGGAATTGAAGCTTGAAAGCAATAACATAGTGACTGTTCCACGAATGGCATTACTTGGTTTGAAATCACTGAAGTCTCTACATTTACAATTAAATTATATTTTGGACATAGGGGTCCATTCCTTTCCTAATCTCACGAGTCTGCAATTTCTGAATCTCAGTTCTAATGACATAATAACAATACAAAACATGGCATTTGCTGCTCTTCCAAATCTGCAGACCCTTATTCTTTCTAATAATAAGATAAAGACATTTGATCAGGGACTGCTAAATGGACTTAATATGTTAGAATATTTGGATTTATCACAGAATTTACTTGAAGATCTGCCATTAGGCATTAATTCCAACTCATCTTTAAAACGATTAGTTTTGTATTCAAATAAAATACGATCTTTAAGCAGAACAGCATTTAATGACTTGACATCTCTTGAATTTTTAGATTTGCGTAGAAATCGAATATTTGAAATTACAGCCAGCACTTTTACTGACATGAAGAATCTAAAAGAGATACGCTTGGATATTAATACTGTAAGGAAAGTTAAAAGTGGAATGTTTAATGGTTTAGAAAGCTTGTCAGATTTGACTCTAAGTGACAATCGAATTTTAGCATTTCCCACTGAGTCATTTAATGTGTTTAGAAAATTGAGGAAACTCAGCTTAGATTATAACAGGATTGCAGCTATTTCAAGAGAAATTTTAGCTCCAGCAAGAAAAAATGAAGAATTATCATTAGCTTTTAATTTAATTAGCGAAATACCTGATAGAACATTTATGGAATTTGAGAGTTTAGAGCTTCTCAATCTTCATGGAAACAAAATAAGCAATTTCTCAAGAGGGAAAACTGAAGGATTAGAACATTCTCTTTTATATTTAGATATTGGGTATAATGAAATAACTGAGTTACCCCAATTACATTTTCCAAATCTTCTAATTCTTTCTGTTGCAAGGAATAAAATTTCAAAAATTGAAACTAAAAGTCTGAAACCCTTGGTAAAATTGAAGTTCTTAAATATAAGTTATAATATGCTCTCAGAGTTTTCACGAGATCTGTTTATAGGATTAAAAAATATGGAACATTTAGATTTGCAGCATAATCTTTTAAAAAGTATTACATCTTCTGCATTTCAGAATTTATCGGTTATCGAAATGAATTTTAAAAACAATCAACTCCAAGAACTTCATGGAAATACATTTGAAAATTTATATAGACTGAAATATTTAGATTTGAGTTTAAATAGAATAGAAAATATATCTGAACATGCTTTTATTAATGTGCCAAATATTGAAACACTAAATTTAGGAGGAAATAAACTTACTATTTTTAGAGGAAATGAGTTTTCTGCTGATACAAAAATCCATACTTTAATACTGAGTAAAAATAGAATTTCTAATCTTTATCCTCAGTCTTTTTATTTACATTCAAAAATAAAATACTTAGATCTAAGCTTCAATGAACTGAATTTCTTCCCTTTTGAAGCTGTTAGCTATCTGATATTCTTACAGAGAATCAACCTTGAAGGAAATAAATTACTGTCTGTGGGTGAAAAATATTTTTCAAACATGCCAAATTTGAAAAGAATTGATCTTCAAAATAATCAGATAAGAGATGTTAGTGAATTAGCATTTCAGAATTCTTCAAATATAAAATTAATTTTCCTGCAAAATAATCAGATCTCTTCAGTATTAGAGAATACTTTTATTAGTCTGAGTCGTCTTGAATTAGATATTAGTAATAATAATTTAACTTTTTTGCCAAACAATGTATTTTCTCGTTCTAAGGGATTAAAATTGGAAAGTATTAACTTAGCTAATAATGCCTTAAGAGAATTTCCTAATGAAGCTTTAAAGAAGCAATACCCATTCTTAGAGAGACTAAATATTTCATTTAATAAAATCAGAAACTTACCTTCAAATGCAGATATTTTAGTTAACATAAAAGAACTTGATATTTCATTTAATCCATTGTCAACTGAAGCTCAACATGTTCTGTTTGGTGAACCTAAGAGTGTGAGGAAACTGTATGTTGAAAGTGTAGGTATTTCATATTTGCCTACAATCGAATGTCCTTTCCTAAAGCATTTGGATTTAAAAGGAAATAAACTGTCAAAAATTGATTCAAATGTTTTTGATAGAGCAAGTATGCTAATTAACTTAGATCTGTCACAAAATGCTTTTCCTAATTTAAATGCAAATTTGGTACCTGCCCTAATGAAATTACCATATCTTAAAAGTTTAGATATATCAAACAATCCTGTGCAATATATTACAAAGAGTGATTTTAGTCATTTTCAGCATATAAGAGAGTTAAAAATAAATAATTTAAAAGAACTTATTGAGTTGAACTGTGAAAGTCTGAATGTGTTGCCTAGGCTTTCTAAATTGCAGATGTATGGCTATCATTCTTTATCTCAATTCAATATTAAGCAGTGTTTACAAAATTTGATAGGTCTAGAAAATTTAAGGGTTGAAGTTAAAGATGTATACCTGAAGGATCAGTTGCAATCTTTTTTCTCACCGAAACTTGATGCATTGAGTGTAAGTGGAGAAAATTTACGATCTGTTTCATCGAGTGCATTTGCAGGTATGCTTAGTCCCGTGATCAAAATACAGCTCTCCCATACTTCCATTGATACCTTCAATGATAAAATTTTTTTGCCTCTTCCTTTATCATCGAAAATTGAATTTAGTGTTCCCCATAACAAAATAAAACGGTTGACATCAGAGATGCTGGCTGTTCTTGACAATAAACAAGTAGATATAAGTATATATGGTATTAATTTAAATCCTATCAGCTGCGATTGCCATCTGAACTTTTTGTGGAACTGGCTGCATGACAAGACAAAGACATCTAATGATCAGCATCAGGAAGATATTTCTTTAAATGATTTTATATGCTCTGAACCTGATAGATTACAGGGGAAAAAGCTAAAAGAGCTTGCCTTTAGTGATTTAATTTGTGAGGATTCATCCTTTACCAAGGTAACAGATGTAAGTGTTGATTCTTCTACATCGTATTTTTCTACTTCCCTGAAAGAAACAACAAGTCTTCGGGACCATCCTTACATTATATTTGAACAACCTGTAACCAAAAGACCATCAGTGCCATTATCTTATGTACCTGCAGGTGGTAATCGTAGTGCTCTAACAAAAGTGGATACAATGATTATTGGCATTGTAGCAGGTGTTGTTGCTTTTGTATGTATTCTCATAATAATTATCTGTATCATAAGACTACGTCGAGCTCATCCTCTCTATACAGCTGGACCACTTGCTGGTCCTTTAGCATTTCGAGCTCAAGGGAAGTGTACTTGTTTGAAGCCTCCATCGAGTAATTGTACTTGCTATCCTATGTATTCTGTTCCTTATCCTGGTGGTCGCCCTTCTCTGCTTCAAAATGCTCAACACAAAATGTTACCTCCATCTCTTCCAGCCCCGCCTGGTTTTTTGAACTCAGGTCAGTCAGGAAGGTTAAGAAATACTCCTTATTATGTTACATACCCAGACAGTGACAATGAAAACAAATGATATAGTACTTGTTCCCAAGTTTTTAGATCTGAAACTTGTGTAACAAGTGATAATTGCAGGTAGTAAGAAGATATATTTAGCAAATAGTTTCATTTGTACAGTGTGTTAATTTGGAAATGTGTATTTTAAAGGTTCATTTTATAAATAGCCTCATAGAGAGCATCTTGCTATTTTTAAATTCTTCAGGAAACTGATTCAAAAATAATTTTTACCGCTGATATAAACTGAAACATGAAACATTTATTTTCATATTCATATTTTGTGCATTTTACTCACTAAAGATTGCCTCTAACATACTCGTCATCCTTTCATTATATTTTAAAATATTCATAAAGCAGAGAAATTTCATTTCACCTTCAGTGAAGCAACACAGGTATCTAAAATTCCTGGAACCAGCTATGGATCTCCTGCATATTTTTATGGAGCTTTTCTACATGTCATTTATAAAAACTGTTCTGTCAGTGTTGTTATGTTTATGTCAGTTTATTGATATGGTTGAAAATGGCAGCTATTCATTCCAATTTAACCCACTCATGTGTGATTTTATTTTGAATGTGAAAGAAAAAAAGTTTGATCCTTTCTGGTTATCTGCACCCGTCTCAAAAGTCTCACAAAATTAATTCATGAAAGACAAGTTTTTTTTTAATGGCAGTGCAGTAAGAATTCCATAAAAGAGCAATGAATCAATATTTTTTTTTTAAAGCATCTGCAATGAAACACCTTTTTCAAGAAATCCCTATGTAATTTTTATTGTACACAGCATTTTCCATTAAAAAACTCAGAGAATGGCACAAATTCAGCATTGTGCATGATTTTTTTCCCATGTGCACAATAATCCATTTTTACTTAAAAAACGTTGAAGAATTGCACAAATTTGGCATCACACACAAATCTAGAGATCCATAAATGCATAAGAGTTGATCATTTAACTTCATGGACTGCAAATTTGTGCATTCCATGTAGTTAAATGATCAACTCTCATGCATCTTTTGGACAAAAGGTCATAGTTCTGGGATATTGCAGCACTTTTTCATCAGCCAGAAAACTCCACAGTCCCATTGCAACTCGTTACAGGGGAAAAATTTGTTCGATGCAAAAACAAGCATTCATCAGAAAAATGGTTGTAAAATATGAAGGTGGAAATTCTTGCTAATCTGCTGCATGTGCATGCATACAGTTTGGCGATGTCCTGAGTTGCCTATTTTGGCAATATAATGCATTACATTGTGAATTTATTTCAAGGGGGAGCAGATAATCAGGAGGAAAACTAGGATTTTTTTGTGGTGATCTAATGTACCATAACATTAGATTTTACTTACATTCTTTGTTACATATTTAGTAATATTTTAATTCTGATAATTGTTACTGCAGTGGCTGATTTAAAGTTGTTTAATTATTTCAAAATGTAAAATGAATATTAGTAGTATTGTTAAATCAAATAATAAAGTTATTTGTAAATTCTTTGGACATTACAAGTAACAAAAAATTATATCCTCTGTGTGTTTGTTAGTACTGAACATGCATAAAACTTATATGCCTTGTAGTGTTGTTGAAATTGTTACTTGTTGCTGTCAATGTGTTTTTATTAACAAATTTGTGAACTTTTTATAGTAAGCAATTGTAATTATTGAGTTGATACACATCAGTGTTAATATATACAGTTCAATATTTCTTTTATATTTAATTTTTTTTACTAAAAAATAATATCCGTCCATATTTTTTTATATTTACAGCTGTATATGGATGGGGTGTATATTTTTTGTTTTTATATGACTATTTATAGAATTAATAAAAATATTTTATTGTATAAGATCCAGTGTATATAATACAATGTATTCAATGTTTATTAAATTCAGTAAATTAACCCTCTGACTGCTCAATTTGCGGACCGAAATTGCTTCAAAAATTGTGTAATTTTTGTTATATATCTATATATATTGGAGAATTGAAAAATGCATTTTTCCTTTCGAGAAAATATTTTTTATATAGATTTTTATCATTATTTATTATGAGATACTAAGTTGCCAGAAAAACCAATTTCAGATGTTATCATCCAAAAAAAATTTTTTTAATAACTTTCAGTCGAATTACAGTTAATTTCTATTTATTGCATAATATAAAAAAGTAAAATATATAAAATTTAACAAAATGCACTGAGGAAAAAGTATCTTAGAAATGCAGTTTAGTATGATAGCTTTCAAAACAGGGTTCAAGTCAAAGTTCAACCTTACAGTCTTTGCACCAGATTATGTCAATCTAATTAATAATCTAATAAATAATTTAATTAAATAATCAAGATAATCGCTGACTGTTTTCTAGCAGCCATTTCTGTAAGAAAAAAGTGGAGCGGTAATACCACGTGCTTTCAAACGCCACAATGTTCTGGACAACTAACGATATCTGTTGGCCAAAGCGTAAACTAAACGTTTAAAACTGTATATAATTTATTTCAATGGTTAAAAGAGGGAAAAAAACGGGATGCGCTCCTCAACAAAGAAAGAAAAACACATACCTGCGGGATGAGCAGATTTTGCTACATTTGAGTTGCCCATGGAAATTGCGGGATGAGCAGCCAGAGGGTTAAGCTATGTATGTAATTATTTTCCAGTCTGTAACCATAATAATCTACATCTGCTTCCCACTTAAAAAAAATAGAAACTGGTACTTTGAAGATTATGGATTTATTTTCGACATTGTTTTAAGAAATGGCCTCAATTTTTCTACATGCTTAGTCTTGGAAATGGGGCAACTATCTTGCTAATGTGTAGTAACTCCAAATAATTCAACATAGATTTTAAATTATCTTTCTAACCATTGCATTAAATACATCCATTCGTACAATTACGCATCCCAATTCTATTCAAGACCAGCTAAATACTCAACCATCTGAAGGCTTATTACTGTGAAGGTGCGCACTGACGTAAACGCCAATAATGATGCAAAAGCAAAGTTTAAAGTTATAGAAAACATTTAGCAGAAATAATTATCGCAATAGAAACACCCTAAGATTATGTCCTGTGCAGACATAGATGACAAAAGTTTTAAACTTAACCAATTTATTAACAATATATATATAAATAAAATACAATAAATAAATTTGATCAATACCAGAAACTTGAAGTTAAGAGTGTAAACATAATCATTGCACTTAGTTAGTAATTACACTTAGTTAACTATTCATTAAACCCCAAAGGTTTTTCCTTTAAAGAATATGACACTATTAATGATACAATAAATATATTACCTGTTCTATGAATACTGGCATTCAATAACTCGCGAAAAACATATCACAGAACAAAACCTTAATCTTGTAACAGGATGCCGCCCACGGCAGTTGCTCACCGGAAACCACAATTTTAGATTCGTCACCGCTTAACCATGGAAAACCCAACATAGCCCGGAACCACGGCACTTAACACTGGACGACATGCATCGCAAGAACATCTCCAAGTGAGAACTGGACCAGCTAAATACTCAACCATCTGAAGGCTTATTACTGTGAAGGTGCGCACTGACGTAAACGCCAATAATGATGCAAAGGTATTAAAGTTATAGAAAACAATAATGATGCAAAGGTATTAAAGTTATAGAAAACATTTAGCAGAAATAATTATCGCAATAGAAACACCCTAAGATTATGTCTTGTGCAGACATAGATGACAAAAGTTTTAAACTTAACCAATTTATTAACAGATATATATAAAATAAAACTACAATAAATAAATTTGATCAATACCAGAAACTTAAAGTTAAGAGTGTAAACATAATCATTGCACTTAGTTAGTAATTACACTTAGTTAACTATTCATTAAACCCCAAAGGTTTTTCCTTTAAAGAATATGACACTATTAATGATACAATAAATATATTACCTGTTCTATGAATACTGGCATTCAATAACTCGCGAAAAACATATCACAGAACAAAAACTACATGATTAATTTGAACTTCACTTGATTAAATAGGTCTATGCTTTTGACCAAGAAGGCACCTGAAAAATTAAACCTTGAATGTACTTGAATTTGTAACTACCGCTCACTGCAGTTGCTCACGGGAAATCACATCTTGGAAAAATATCGGCAGTAGACCTGAAAACCATTTGTGTCAATAACGCTGCCTACATCAGTTGCTTTCGGAAACCAGAACTTGAGATTCATCGCCCCTTAACCTTGTAACAGGATGCCGCCCAGTTGCTCACCGGAAACCACAATTTTAGATTCGTCACCGCTTAACCATGGAAAACCCGACATAGCCCGGAACCACGGCACTTAACACTAGACGACATGCATCGCAAGAACATCTCCAAGTGAGAACTGGAACAGCACATAAAGAGCAATGGAAACAGGAACAAGAAGGGCTAAGCCAGAGCGATGCGAGATATTTATACATGAAGTAGACATGACGTCATCTCACGGCAGCCAATCAGTTGTCGGCATGACCCAGCTTTCCAGATGACTTACCCTCAAGTTTCGTTTTTGCATATTAATTAGGCTGAAACAGTCCGTTCTTAATACAAACGGTGGCAGTGAAAACAAGTAGAAGTAATTGCTATATCCCTTTAAAATAAAAACTAAACCTTATGTAAAAGTTAGAATTATTTCAAGTAGGAGAGATGATGCAGAAAAGGAGTTACAATAAATCATGTTTGCAACAAATAATCCAAAAAAAATTGTCCTCGTTTCTTAGTTGTCTTAACACTGGACGACATGCATCATAAGAACGTCTCTGAATAAGAGCTCGAACAGCACACAAGGAGCTGTAGAAACAGGAACAAGAAGGACTAAGCTTTGATACTTGTCAGTTAGGCTATCTATTGCGCTCTTACCAGCACCTCAATTACTCCTGGGTAGGGCAAACCTCGCATGAAGATCTTTGAGTGGTAAACCCTGTGAGTAAGGGAAATTAGAAGTAAATTAGGCCCATGCCTGTGAGAATTGAAGCTGTAAGAAATTAAAATAAATGTGAAATAGGGGAAAGGAATATGCCAACTATTTAGATATTGAATGTAAAAAGATGAGTAGCATACGGGTGGAAATTAAAGTCTTCTTCCAGGAATTCGTACCTGAAATTATCTGCATAATTAACAATGTTAGTGTTGGTGGCTTTGGTATAAAAGTTATTATTTATTTTCCCAATGTAAGTTTTGATGTCGTCTAGTTTTAGGTCTTTATGTAGGTCAGTGTTTCTAATGAACCATGGAGCTCCCATTATTTTTCTAAGAAAGTTATTTTGAAAAGTTTGATATAGTCAAATTTTGAAGCCCCGCACCAGGCTGGGGATGCATAAGTAAGAATTGGGCATAAGATAGAGATATAGATCCTTCGTTTCCTGGCGAGATCAAGCGTGGAGGTTGAGATAATAATGTTTTCTTGCCACACCTGTTGCTTTGCCTATGGCTGTCGTGACGAGAGGGTTCCAGGTAAGCGTGGAGTTGAATTTGATGCCAAGATATGTTGCCTGAGTGATCTTGGGCACTTTTTCATTAAATAATGTCATGTCAACATCCACAATTTTCTTTCGGTGACGACTTATGAGCAAAAGTTTGGATTTAGTTGCCATTAATACGAGTTTTCCACTTACAGCACCAATGTTCGATTTCATTCATCTGGCTCTGGATGCTAGTTATTGCATAACTGGAGTTGAGTGAAGAAGACAATAGCAGTGTCGTCAGCGTAGCAGGCGGTGATGCAGTTAGTATTTTTATCAAACATCGGGAAGTTCATGGTATAAATTAAGTAAAATAAAGGCCCTATATTAGATCCTTGAGGAACGCCCGCAGCAATGAAGGACTAAGCTAGAGCGATGCGAGATATTTATACAGGAAGTAGACATAATGTCATCTCACGGCAGCCAATCAGCTGTCAGCACGACCCAGATGACGTAACCTCGAGTTTCATTTTTGCATATTAATTAGGCTGAAGCAGTCCGTTCTTAATAAAAACAGGCCAGTGAAAACAAAGTAGAAATAATTGCTATGTCCCTTTAAAATAAAAACTAAACCTCATGTAAAAATTAGAATTATTTTAGGGAGGAGAGGTGATGCAGAAAAAGGGTTACAAAAAATCATATTTTCAACAAGTAATCCAAAAAAATTGTCCTCATTTCTTAGTTGTCTCTCTACCCCTTCGGGTGATGTGCATAAGATGTCTCCTTTCTTACTAAATAAATACATTTATTCCTGTGCTGGTGAGCCCAGAAATATAAAACGTTTCCATTCTGGAGACTTGCTTATCGATGCAATTTCGGGTATGCAGTCTGCTTCCTTGCTTCGAATAAGCACTGTTGAGCAAACCGCTGTCACTGCAACAGAACATAAGACACTGAATTTTTGTCAGGGTGTTATTTAGGAAATTGGTCTTCTGTTCGTTTCATATGAAGAGTTCGGGACCTATTCACGACAAGGAGCGTAAATAACGATCTTCTCTTAACGGATGGCCGCTAAATTTCACGACTCCAGTAACCGTAAGGACTCTTGGTTAAATTGGCATTCATCACAGCGACCATCGAAGGAATCCTTAACCTTCGTTCGAGAATTGGAGAAGTTCGTTAAAATAAGCCAATCATATTACAGCTACTAGAGATACAGGCTGTTCGTCATCCATGTTCTAGCATAGCCATGCTTTAGGGTTGTAATTCAGGTTTGGAGTGCCATCTTGGCTCTTTAGCGGTGCTCACTAAAACTTTATTATTTAACATTCTAGGGTATCCAAACTTCCGATTTTTTGCATTCATATAGAGATGTGTGGCTTTTGCCCCCCCTTCTTTTCTCTACAGTTCAGCTTCTTTCTTGTAT